CAAACTCGAGAGTACCGCCGGCGATTTCACTGAGAGCCTTCTGTGCCGTCTCTTTGAGTTCTGGTGTATAAGCGAGCAAGGCACCGCCGTGAGCTTCAGCAGACCCCTCAGTGGCTTGCTCCTGGATGATGGTATCAAGTCCCACACTGAGCTCATCATACCCGACCAGGGCATCCTCAACAAGACCGACACTCTCAAAGCCCCTGGCCAGACCTTCTTTAAGGATAAAAAAGGTACAAAAATTCCACCCTGGTAAGCTCCTCTGGCCGTCCCGCTCCTTGATGTCCTCCTCGTACTGTGTGACGCGTGTGTCGAAGCTGGATAGGATGAGCTCCTTAAACTTCCCAATCAAGTCCGCCCACGCGGCCTCACTGTCCTGCTCGGTCTCACGATACCCCGTAGGCACCGCAGGCACCACCCTCGGGAGCATACTGTATGGCACGTCATTCACCCCGATGCGAATCTGCCTGATTCTGTCCACAGCACCCTTGCCCGAGCCGTTGAAATCAGTCCGAAGCTTCTCCAGAAGTGATGTTGAGCCACCGCGCCACTTCAAGGTTGCCGTCTTGGAAACATCACTTGAGTCGGGGACTTTGCCGGTGCTTCGTGGCTGGGTCGCGGCGACGGTATTTGGGAGGACCACATGGATGATCAGCCATTCAAAGGCATCGTGATTCTCGGCACCACTCTTTCCCTGCGCGGGTGGCGTGTTAACTTTGATCCACTCTTTGATCTCGCCCTTGGTTGTCGACTTGTATGTATCGTTGTCGTCGCATCGTATCAGCAACACCTTAAGGTACGGCGTGCGGCGCAAGCCGGGTATTTGATGTCTCCTTTCCTTGCTTGGCCCTGCTGGTGGACGAAGCGTCGAGTCTACCTGGTCGGTTGAGCTGCCGCGCCCTGCAATGGTGGCGGTCTGGAAACCATCGTCCTGAGGAGGTTGATTCGCGACATCGGTGGAGCTTGCGCCTTTCGGGTTTGGGGAGGACAGGGGGGTAAAGATGTTCGAGTAATCGGCACCAGAAGGTAGGAGTTCGATATGGAGGGTGTTGATTGACCGTAGTGGCCCGGCGTGGGACTGCCAGTTGAGGTCGCGGAGCGGGAGCCGAGGGATCAGCCCCGGCGCAAGGAGCTTGTAGACATCGTGGGGATCGAAGTACTCGACTGTATATGCGGACAGTGGTTAGCTGGGAGCTCTGCAGATATCAAAAACAGCACTAACCCGTCACCTTTGACGACGAAAAGGGCTGCTCCATGCTGAACAGCTCCAGGGGTTTATGACATTCCCTCGTCAAAGCTTGTTGGAATTCCAGAAAGAAAGACAGCTCCCGGCCATGCGCTGGCAGAATCCCCTTAGGTCAGGGTGGCACGTCGATGCAATGGCTAGGAGCCCTCACCGCTTCTTGGCAATGCAGCTCACTGAGCCTGACCAAATTTCATAAAAGTTGCCCCACCAAAGCTTTTACGCGCAGTGGCGGGGCATTTATCTGATGACAGTCCTGGCGGCTGCAACCCCCACCCTCGAAGAGATATATTCTATTTCAAGCTCACATTCAGGCCCGTTCCCTGTGGAAAAATCCAGGGGTATTTTTGACATCTTCAAAACGCGGCTGGCTACTTTCAATCACCGTTTTTTTTGTTTGTTTCTGCAACTCTCCCAAACACAGCATTAAAATGGCTACCCTCCAGGCTATCAAGTATTCGCGGGGCAAGCTGTTAGTCCTTGACCAGCTCAGACTGCCTCATGAGAACCATTACGATGAGGTGTCAACTGCCGAGGAGGCGTTTGACTGCATCAGGTCCATGAGAGTGAGAGGTGCCCCTGCTATCGCCATTGTGGCTGCTTTGGCCCATGCAGTTGAGCTGCACAACGGGGACTGCAGTAAGTATACACTTTACCCCCCAATGTTGAGACAGCACTAACATGCATCGTAGCTGCGACTGACCCTGAAGGGGTCATTGCGCATATCGAAAAAAGGCTTGACTACCTCAAGGAGAGCAGGCCCACAGCAGTCGATCTGTCAAATGCCATCACTCTTCTCAAGCTGGCCACCAGAGCGGCCAACCTCGAGGGTTTGGCTCACCCCGAAGCCAAGGAGGCCATCTTGAACACCTACATCAAGACGGCCGAGGAAATCCTTGCCAAGGACCTTCACAACAACACCTCCATCGGCTCCCACGGTGCCGCCTGGTTGCAACAGCAGTACAATGCCTCTTCTGCGCGCCCCATCTCGGTTCTCACCCACTGCAACACCGGCTCTCTTGCTACGTCTGGCCACGGCACAGCGCTTGGCATCATCCGTACCCTTCACTCCAAGGGCCTCCTAAAGCACGCCTACTGCACCGAGACTCGTCCTTATAACCAGGGCAGCCGTCTCACCTCGTTCGAACTCGTCTTCGAGGGCATCCCATCCACTCTCATCACCGACAGCATGGCCGGTGCTCTCTTCAACCTCCACCGTGAGCGCATGAACATTGGCGCCGTTATTGTCGGCGCTGACCGCGTTGTTCGTAACGGTGATACCGCCAACAAGATTGGCACCTATCAGTTGGCGGTGCTCGCCCGGCATCACGGCATCAAGTTTGTTGTGGCTGCGCCAACTACCAGCGTCGACCTTGAGACGGAGACTGGAAGCGCCATTGAGATTGAGGAGCGCAAGCGTGAGGAGTTGACGCAAATCAGCGGTGCTATTGTCAATGAGGATGGAACCGTTGATACGAGCAAGACCGCGAGGGTGGCCATTGCTGACCAGAGAATTGGTGTCTGGAACCCAGCCTTTGATGTGACGCCTCACGAGCTTATCGATGCCATTGTCACTGAGAGGGGAACCGTGGTGAAGGGGGCGGATGGCAAGTTTGACTTTAGCCAGGTGTTACCAGAGCGGCTGGCTTCCGTTGCTGCCCGTCAGCTATGAGGAGCGAGCTGAGGAGCTGAATACGAAATGAGATGTTGAACATGCATTGTGCAAGTCATTCAGCGCCCCACCGCCCTTGCATTAGCGATTTGTGCATGTTTGGACCCACTGAAAGGGATGACCTCATCCGCGCTACCATGAACTCGACCGAGACATTGGATCTTTCACCTTTCATCAACAGAATTCGGGATGCAGAGGGCTAGCCAAAACTCAAAATGAAGCAGACCTCACAGCTGCTGCTACTGTCCAGCGCATTGTACTCAGCAGCAGTATATGCAATCCCTACGCCGCACGCAGATGGCCCCTCTTACCGCCATGACCTCCTCGACCTTCACAAAAACATGGTCGACATACCTTCTCTGAGTGGCACCGAAGAAGATGCCGCTCTTCTTCTCCAGAAATATCTCGGCCAGCAGAACTACAGTGTTGAGCTCCAAAATATCCCTGCTGGGCTAAACAGCGGCTCTGGTACCAGGTACAATGTCCTTGCCTGGCCCACCGCTACGAAGCCTTCCACCGCCAACTTCAAGCTTCTCATCACCTCCCACATCGACGTGGTCCCCCCATACATCCCATACAAAATAACCCCTTCAGGACCGATCACCTCGGATACGCTTATCTCCGGCCGAGGCTCCGTCGATGCGAAAGCATCTCTTTCGGCGCAACTCATCGCCCTATCCAGCCTCCTTTCATCCGGATCCATCTCCCCATCAGACGTCATGCTTCTCTTCGTTGTGGGAGAGGAGACCTCCGGCATCGGCATGAAGGAATTCTCCCGCCGATCCCACAGCACCTCGATTTTCCGCAGCGACGAGAAGCAATACCGCTTTCACTCCGCCATCTTCGGCGAACCAACAGAAAACAGACTCGCCTGTGGCCATAAAGGCATCACCAACGGCATCATCCACTCTCAAGGAAAAGCCGGCCATTCTGGTTACCCTCAACTAGGCAAATCCGCCAACGAAGTTTTGATTCGCAGTTTGCACACCATTCTCAACACCGATTTAGGGTCAAGCGATCGATATGGTAACACCACAGTCAATATTGGCGTTTTGGAAGGCGGTGTGGCTGCAAATGTTATCCCCAAGTCCGCCAGCGCTAGGCTTGCTATACGTGTTGCCTCGGGGGGGCAGAAGGAGGGGCACAAGGAGGTTATTGCCAATATTGAGAAGATCTTGAAGGAGACAGACGGGGATGCGCTCAGTTCGGAGTGGTTTGGGGGCTACGGACCAGTCAAGTGCAAGTGTGAAGTAGACGGGTTCGAGACTATGGTCGCGAGCTATGGGACAGATGTTCCGAATTTGGATGGGGATCACACGAGTTATCTCTATGGGCCGGGGAGCATTCTTGTGGCGCATGGGGATGATGAAGGGTTGAAGGTGAAGGATTTGGAGGAGGCGGTGGAGGGGTATAAGAAACTGATTTTGCATGCGCTGGAAGAGGCGGATGAGCAAGGTGACTTGTGATGGAAGAGGATGATGATATGACTGACGAAGAGATACGACATTTTAGCGGTGCAGATTTCATGTAGAGATACCATGTTGCGAGCTAGACTAGACATTCTTGTATTAACAGTGTGTCTTGGGTCTTGGCTCACTCCCTGTAGCATGGCTCAGTATGTCCAAGTTCGAGATGCGTCCCAGGTACTCCGATGTTCTGTGATGTGGAAAGGAGAGGTTCGGTAGCCCTTGCCACACCTGAATCTGGTGATCTTGCTTCAAAGTTTGGGCGTGGTACGGATCACCAAAAACTCTGTCTTTTTCATGTCACGGCGGACAAATAGCTTGCAAAGGGCTTCCAATACCAATAATTCAAACCTTTTTATAGCATAGCTAGGTAGTTAGCCATGGCCTTTGGCCCATGAAGGGGTGTATGCCATAGGTAATTAACCGAAACATCCTACTTACCGAACTTGAAGACCAACCTCTCATCTCACACAAGCAGCATCACAGCCAATCTCCGTTCGCCTCCCCGCCACACACAAAACGCAGCGTCTGACGCGAAAAAAAAAACCCGCATTTGCCCCCACTGCATCCACACACATATGCAAATCCTACCGTACTGTCTCCAACAAAAAGAGTAAATCCCCTTGTGGTGTAGTTGGCTATCACGTTCGGCTGTAAATGTTCTTTGATCGTTTATCGATATACCGAAAGGTCACCGGCTCGATTCCGGTCGAGGGGACAGCACAGTTCATATTTTTTATATTTTTTTTTATAAAAACGAGTTTACGATCTACTTACCCCTTGGATGGTGATCAAGTTTTGTGTTTCTGCGTGGTTTTACCGTGAGGGTTTTTTTTTGGAAGTGAATAGAATTAGATTGGGGACAATAGATAATTGCTTTCTTGCCTTAGGAGTTTGAGGTGTGGATGTGGGTGTTTTGATAGGGTGATGTCTGGGTTAGGGTTCTGCCAACGACCACAGCAAACGCCAAAAAAAATACTCGCGGCCATGGAATAAAAACTACAAGCCTCATACCATATAGAAATAAACGAAACCCAGATGCAAGGGATCACAAGTTGGGCCTCATCATGTCTCTACTTTACTGTGCCTTCTCCGCCCTATATTTCCATGTGATCCACGGCACATTGCAAAGGAAAAGAGGGCACGGTGGAAAATACAGGACTCGCTCAATGATCTCACAATTGCGCATTCCTTCTTTGCTGAGCTTCTCAAACATGAAATCCGGATCACTAATCAGTCCAGAATCGTCACCACGCCTCTTTGGGACAGCTCCACTACCTGTTGTTGCCCAAAACATGGTGTCTCTTTCTGTAGCCTCTTAATCAAAACGCATTCCCCATTTACACTGCTAATTTACCCCAACCCCCTTCAACCACCCCGGCCTCGTCCCCCTCATCATCACCCCCAACTCCACCACCTCCATCCTCTTCCCCTCTGTTCTCGCTCTCTTTAACAGTTCTCCCCTCGCCTTCTCGATAACTTTTACCGTCTCCTCCGGCACCGCCAACCCCCCATCCAGCTTCCTCAACCCCGGCTCCCCCATCAATGACATGACCGTCAGCCCAAAACAGCTATGATACACATCCGGCGGTCCCCCAGGGTATTTACTAAACCCGCCAATCCGATGCGCCATTTTCTCCAGCAGAAACCTTCTGGCAGGTAACCAGTCGCCAAAGAGGGGCAGTTGGGAGAGGTTGGAGAGGGCGGCGAGGACCCACCAGGTATAGCATGTGTCTGCTACCTTGTTCGTGCGGCCGTTGGAGGCTATGAGGATGGGATCTGGGGGTGAGATAGATATAGAGGAGAGAGAGGGGAGGAGGAAGTTGACCGGGTCTTCTTCGTCTGATTCGTTGTCGGGGTTGTTACTGGGGGGTGAATCGGAGGAGGCGGGGTCGAGGTAGATGAATTGCCGGGAGGTGAGCCAGTGGATTAGGGCTGGGAGGTCGCGGATGCGGGAAAGTAAGGGGGAGGGAGGCAGTGGATGAGTGGTGGTTTCTAATGGCCGGTCTAGCAGCGAGAGGGCGGATATGGCGCAGTAGGCGTAGCCGGCTGGGTTGGGTGTTAGTGATGAGACAGTACGGACAGGAAAGGAGTGAGTTACCGTGTGGTTCTTCTTGTGAGCTGCCCGCAAACCCGCCATCGTACGTCTGTCGCCCATCTATCAGCACGCATATGATTCACGAGATACAAGAGACAGAACACCCACCTGGCTGCTGAGAATATAACGCGCCAACTTCTCAGTATCAAAATCCTCCACCCAACCCGGCTCGCCCTCCTTCACACCCCCCCTTAGCATCCACCGTATTGATGCGGCAATGTAGCAGTACCGCATGTCATAGCCTCCCCCGATGAACCACCCCTGGCTCGGCAACAACCTCAGCACCTCCCCAAAACTCCCGTCTTCCCTCTGCAGCCTCCGCAACCAGCGGAGCGTCTGCACACGGTCAACCCCATCAAACGCACCCTCCGGGCCATCCTCGTCTGCCAAGAGCGCTAGAAGCTGCAGCGCAAATAGTGTCCCTGGCGCATTGGCCATTCCCGCTGGTTCTGTCGTTTGAGAGGCTGTCTCTGGCGCCCATTGCTCATAACCCTGAAGTGGAAATACGAGTGATGAAGATGGAGAGAAGCCACCACCAGGGTGCTGGTGTGAGAGAACCCATTGCCGTAGCTTTCTCCGATCCTGCGGAGTGATCAGGGGGTTCTCAGTATTGTTATTAGTATTAGGTGTGAGTATGGCGATGGAGTTGATGATGAAGTAGGCCAAGGCCACGCGATTCCCTTCGTTGGAGAGGTAGTGGTGGGGCAGGGGGGACTGCAGGCACATCTTCCAGTATTTCAGCTGCCGGTCGATGTCGAGCGCTGGCCCCGGGCTAGGGGGCTCGGTAGGTGTGTCTGTGTCCGTGTCCGCTGCCATGGTTGGGGTTTGTAGCTGGGATGATGCGAGTCGCGGGTGCAGGTGGTGATTATCCGGGTTTTGGTCCGATTCCAGTACTACCAGGCAATCTCAAAAAGAACTCAGTAAGTTCCTGGGACAAAGGCTCACAAATGGTCCCTCTCGGATGGGCTTCAGTTCATGAAAGGCAGTGGGCGACAGCAGCATGGGCCCCGCCATCACAAACACAGCTGGATCCCTGTCCTCTTTGCCCCAAAGGGGTTGCAGTGCCAAGACCCAGAGTTCATCCAGCCACACTAGAAGTTAAGCATAATGTGGCTGACAGATCCCGCGCCCCACTCTGAACTGGAATACAACCCAACCAATGGCCCTCGCTTATCAAAAGGGATACCAGCCGATAAGGCTTGTAAATGTGCCCCAGTGTCTCACACGACACCGACACTGAGGGAGCTACACCTGACGACGACAGGTATATCCACCCATCCACCCAGCACCCAAAACCCCCCCCCATCACTCAGACCCGTATCCAACAAAACACCATCGCACAATCCAGCCCCCTCGCTCGAGTGCCTTCTCGTACCTGGCCACAACCACTCCCAAACCGACTCCGAAGCTGGCCGAAGCTGGCCCTCCGAACCCCCCAAAACCACATCCTCAACCAACCAACCCCCCCTCCCAAAAACCCAACCTCCAACCATGGCCCTAATATCCTCCAAAACAATCATCACCTCCCTCTCCCTCTTCCACCTCACCCTCGCCTTCTTCTTCCTCACCAACCCCTCCGCCATCTCGGACCAGTCGATAGTCTACCTTCTAGGCGACTCCATGGGCCTCCCCTCCTCCCGCTCCTTCGACACCCCCTCCCCCGCCCTCGCCTTCTTGGGCGTCATCCTCGGCTACCTCGGCATCTCCGACCTAGTAACCCTCTCCTACCCAGAGGAGATCTGTTTGATCACCCACTGGGGAACTCAAGGTCCGGTTTCCCCTCGTTTTCTTCCAAACCCCAGCTAACGGTGGTGTATGGTGTAGCCCCCCTCCGAGTATCAATCAGCTTCGCCCTGGCAATCTACTCCTTCTTCTTCTCGCCGTCTTCTCCGCTGTTTTATCACGACGAAAATGCCACGAGCCGATTCGCCCACCCAAACTTACACCATGCCCTGCACAACAACCCAAATTACAAGCCGTCTGGCTGGGGCGGGGACGCGCTCAAGAATAGGGTGTTCTTCACGTTCATGTTTGTCGAGACAATGGCTTGGTTCTGGACGTGGGTTACGCTCGGGGAGGAGCAGCGAGGGGTTCTGGCGAGGGCGCAGAGGGAGAGGGCGAAGAGGAGGGGGAGTCAGAGTTATTAGGGGCGTGAAGGACTATCACAACTGGGGGTGGAGGGTGGTAAAGGGGAGGGTGATGTTGGATATTTCCATTGTTAGCTTTTTTGGGGGGGGGGTTGGGGGGCTTTGTTTTGGCATATACTATGATACCTATTTTTTATTTAGTGTTGTTTATATTTTCCTGTTGCATAGCGGACTGGATCATAAAGGGCAAGAGGGTGATGATCAAGCATTTTTATACCACAAATAAGATACCCCCCCCTTGCCTTTTTTCTACTTCTTTTTGTTTGCATCTAACCACACCATTTTGTGTATATACTGTTTACTACCCAACACAACCAACTCTCTTATTCAAACCTAACCATCCCCCATCCTTTCACCCCCTCCTTCCAGCTATCCACCACCTTCCCCGCCCACTCCTCCGCCCCTCCCCTCCCCTCCACCACCTCACCAACCTTCTCTGTGAGCTGCTCCACCTCCTTATCCTCCTCCCCCAAAACAACATCCAGCAATCTATCCAGCCACCCGCTCTCGTTCATCACCCCCTTCAGCACCCCCACATGACCCTTGGCATCAGCCAGCGTCTTGTTCGCTGCCGACTCCAGCGCCTTCATCTCGGCGACTACCTCCTTGTGGAGACCAGATTTTCCCGATTTATCTCTTGCCGTCTCCTTCTCGTGGTGTGCAAGAACAAACCCAGCGGAGACTTTAACTGCGAGGGCGATGTCCCGAACAGAGGAAAAGGAGGGCATGTCACACAATGAGGAGATCGCCTGTTGAGCGGAGACTGGAGTGGAAGATTTAGGGGACAGCAACCCCGTGCGAAGGGTGGTGAGGGTTGTCTTGACGGATTGCGCTGTTTGGGATACGATTTTGGGGACGGAGGGCTCGGATTTGGGGACGGAGACGGCTGTCAGGACCAAGGCGGAGAGGAGGGAGAGGGCGGTGTAGTAGTTTGTTTCGGATGGGGTGAGTAATTTGGGGGTGGTGGGCTTGTGGATGAAGTCGGTGAGGGAGGTGTTGATGCGGGCGAGGGTCTCGAGGGTGTAGGCCTTGTCGCGGGCGGCGGCGTCGGCGGGTTGGGCGGGTTTGTAGTCTTTTGGGGGGGTGTAGGTGAGGAGGTCAAGGTACTGTTCAGCGAGGAATGAGAGGTGGGAGCGCTCGTTCTGGAGGGGGGGTTAATGTCTACGAGTGAAAGTTATGCGGGAGTGACGTACGGAAGGACCTGGGCCGAGACGGATGAACTCCTGAATGGGTGGCCCGTTGGCACTCTCGAGGTTGGGGAAGGAGCCGTAGTCGGTTTTGTGGACAAGTGTGGTGTCCTCATAGATATCGGCTTGGGAGCTGTTAGTAAACCAACTGAAGGCGTTCAGGTGAGAGATAAACCTACTGGCCAGCATGTGATCGTCAATATCAACATCAAGCTTACCGCCGAAATACCTCGTAGCCCGCCTCTCCTCCACCAAAGTCATCACAAGCGTGCAGCTGGTGCGTAAC